TGTTAATTTAGATGTGTTTATAAAATAATATAAATGCATAATATAATATTAAAATATAAATAACTAATTTTAAATACAACATTGAATTATTAAACACTTTCACATTTTTTAACAATTACAATTTAAGTTTATTTTTATTAGCTAGTGAACTAGTAAAACTACTCATTCTGAACAGTTATAGTTTTAAGCAGTGTATTAGTAGTTCGTATGCTACACTCTAAGAAAAGTCTGTAAAAATAGGGCAAAATCTATTAATATGAAGGAATTTTCCGTAATTATTATTCACACATTTTAAATTACGCATTGTATTTTGTGTTTTCGGGTTACAGGGTTACAATGGATAACGGATAATGTCCTGGAAAATTACTACATTTTTCTAGATATTTTTCTTACCGTGCACTAACTGATCAACAAACTCAAGTACAAGCTACTAACAAGGTGTATCATAAATGAACAATTATTCAATTATTATTATTATTAAATTAAACAATTGCTAATAGCAGCCAACTTAATTCATGTGAATTGTGTACTGCTAGGCACCTTTGGTTTCCTCTTTTTGTGTAATTTAGATGGAAAATGTGTGCCTTTTTTATCGTTTGAGTCACTTATCAAAAGTTGCTAAATGCTGCCAAATAAATTTTAAAAAATAGCTAAATTTGTTGCTAGGTGCTTTTGGAAGAAAAAGTTGCTAGGGTAGTCTGAAAAGTTGCTAAATCTAGCAACAAAATTGCTAAATTGGCAACACTGAGTGTATGAAGGAATTTTCCGTAATTATTATTCACACGTTTTTTTTACCTACATTTTAAATTACACATTGTATTTTGTGTTTTCGGGTTATGGATAATGTCCTGGAAAATTACTACATTTTTCATTTTTCTAGATATTTTTCTTGATCAACTGATCAACAATCTCAAGTACAAGCTACTAACAAGGTGTATCATAAATGATTATTATTATTATTATTATTATTATTATTATTAAATTAAACAATTGCTAATAGCAGCCAACTTAATTCATGTGAATTGTGTACTGCTAGGCACCTTTGGTTTCCTCTTTTTGTGTAATTTAGATGGAAAATGTGTGCCTTTTTTATCGTTTGAGTCACTTATCAAAAGTTGCTAAATGTTGCCAAAAAAAATAAAAAAAATAGCTACATTTGTTGCTAGGTGCTTTTGGAAGAAAAAGTTGATAGGGTAGTCTGAAAAGTTGCTAAATCTAGCAACAAAATTGCTAAGTTGGCAACACTGGTATCGAGGCCCTGAGACGTCGATTCCTTTCCGGGAATCACTTTGTTCGAGAATTGATGAACCGGTTTATTTGAACCGGATCGTCGGTCCGTCCGACGACATTGTACGTACTTTGTATGTGATTTACATGTCGATATAGACAATTGCAGGCGTTTACATTAGAGCAGAAAGTCGTATTCACTTATTTTAACTCATTTGACTCACTTTGTTAAATTCGCTTTTCAGTGACAGAAATGACTATTTCCTCTATTTTCACAGATATTCACTTATTTCAGCCTTCCGTCACTGTTCTGATACTTAATAAAACTGTATTAATCTGTCATCTCACATACCTAACACGACTATGCAAGTAACTTAGAATGGCAGTCTGAGCTAAACTGTTCGTCAGTTTAACATAACTAATGTTGGCCTGTAGAAGTTTAACAATATTGTTGTCGCGATGAAAGTTATAATTCTGCCAATTTAAAATAATTATTAATTAAAACATTATATAAACTTACCTTAAAACAGTTGAAACCAGTGGCTTTGCCCCGTTGTCCTTTCAAAATGACAGTTAGGGGAGCGATTTAAACATCTTCCAAGGGTTAAATAACCCAGTGTTGCAACCCAGCAGGTTTAACTCAACAGTGTTGAAATTGAAACTACCCAACAGTGTTTAAAATGTGATAAAATGACCCAACAAAATGACCCAAGAGACTCAGCCCAGCATTTTGGGTTAAAAAATAACCCAGCACTTTTTAGAGTGCAGTCTGGGTCATAGGTCATAGTTTGGGCATCACTTTTTAGAGTGTAGTCTGGGTCATAGGTCATAGTTTGGGCATATTTTATGCAAATTACTAGCTGTGGGCAAGTGCTCCTCATTATAATCCAGATTCAACATTAGAATGCGGACATGCAATAGAATGCAACATGTGAATCAGTCTGAAATTTTGCATAAGAACATACTAGGGGTGTAATGGTACACAAACCTGACAGTTTGGTACGCACCTCGGTTTTGGCGTCACGGTTCGGTATGGTTTCAGTAGCCTACAACATGGGAAAAACATAAAACACTAAGCAAAACACTAAACATAAAATTGCTTTTTTTCTTAATAAAAAAGCGTTTTATTGAACAAATTGCTTGCTCTTTAAAAAATGTAACTATAATAAAAATTTTGATAGGGATAAAAATCTTTTCCTTATAATTAACAACAGTGCCCAAACTTAAATGTAATTACTATTTATTTTTAAATACAATAATCAAAACTCAACTTTAAAAATTTGTATGCAAACATGTAAATTGCACATAATGCAGTTTTTAAATTAACTTATAAATTATAAAATTTCTAATTGTTGTTGAAATATATTCATTTACACATAACTTTTGAGTCTAATATTTCGCGGAATGCTCTTCGCTAGACTTCATTTCTCTAGCGAACTAAAGAGCTGTGGACACTGATGACTTGCGTGAGGTAAATGAAACGCTACGTGACATTTTGTTTACAAGCTGTTTTATTGACGTCTTTACGCGGTTGAAAGACTGATTGAGGGATTAAATGAGGCATGAGTTGTTCATTCATGTTTATTTCGTGTTAAACTAGTAGTAAAGAGGAAACACTGCCTTTTGAACTGAGGCATTTATACAGCGATGTCACGCCACATCAAAGAGTGTCAAAACCCCACTTATTGTTTGAATTACCTAAAGAGTTGACAGAATTTGAAAGATGAGACTTTGTTTCTTATCAAAAGTACCAATATATAAAACTGGAAGTTTCTAATGAAGTTTCACTCATGCAGTGGTTAAAACAATGCTGTTCGGCATTCATGCGTACCCGAACCGAAAAGACCTGTACAAAAATGTTCGGTACGAATACGTGTAACGTTACACAACTAGAACATACACAAATTATTATACACAACATTATTAGTGAATGAGGCCAGAGTTCTTTTTGAGACAGTGTTTGTCTGCTTCATCTGTATGTTTTGTGGTCTCCCTGTCTGTTTTAACAGGTTGATTAAAAACTAAAATAAGGGGAACTGTTTTGTTTTTCTTTGAAGATGTGTATTGTGAATACAGCAGATTTCCTTCAAGCAAACTGACCTGTCACACTGTGTTAGCTCACTGAGCAACCATTCAGTCAGCTTCAGATGCCCCTGTTTAGTTTTCACCCATGTCCTTTGTGTCTTTGTCCCCTCGGGTGTCCTACTTCTCAATGCTTTTAAGGTTTTAGTAAGAATCAGGGACCTGCATGCTGTGTGAGTACTCCTCTTTTTCCCCCCAGCTTCTGCTGGCTGTGAGGGTCGGAATCCCCTCGGCTGAATCACTTCACGGCCGGGTGGTTTTGTTCTGTGCCATGGTTGACCGATCGACTCATTGCATTGCATTGCACAGCCACGAAATGGGTCATTCTGTCAGCGACGCCCCTTCCGATCAGTGATCGTATTTACATGTGCCCGTGATGCAATGTCGAAGTGCTCCTAATCACAGAATGGCAGAGCCAGCACTTTGGTCAGGAATGATTAGATGTGCTGTGCTGAAGACCTGAAGGTCATACAGTCTCTGAGTGGAGCTATTGTACCCTGCGGTGGGATTCCCAGCCCATCTAAAGTTAGTGGTATGTCCAAGATGTCAGTTCGGATTGGACTAAAAATCTGTCCGCTCAGCAAACATGTCCCCTGCAAAGTGTAACTGTATTACACCTAAAGTGTAAACAGACTGTTTGACACAATGTCATATAGAGGAGACCGGGGCTAATTGTCACACTTTTCACTTCAGTAAATTTCTGTTTCTTGTTGTCACACATCTCATGTACTGTATTACATCACCACAGTATTTTTTTTTCTAACATAAAATATTACGGTTTACATTGTACAACTAGGGCTGCAAATTGTTTTATGAGGATTTAATTTATTAGCATAAACAGAGGCATTAATTATAGACTTAATTATACATCTGGTTAATTTATCATATATTAGAATTGATCACTAAATTAACATATTAAATTGACAGGCCTATATATTATAATGCATAAATGTATGTAATTTACATTTTTAATCTACACAAAATGCAAATCTTTAGGAAATACTACGTTCACACAATATGTAGAAAGACTTTACTGTAAATTGTAGAAAACCTTTTGTGACAACTAGCCCCTTTGAACCCTATAACAGTGATTTCTATGTAGCTCATTGCCACATTGAATCATTTATTGCAGATGCTTTTATATGCATCTAATCGTTTCACAATTGAGTTGTGGGCAATAGACTGTAGTAAGAGAACAAACCTCTGCAAAAAAAGCATTTTCACTAAATTGCTTTAGGTTGGTCTCAGGTATCGTTGACAGTTGAGTAAATTTCCCCAGAGAAAATCTGAAGAGAAATTACACTTTTAGGCAGACCACACCAGCTCTGATTTTGAAACACTCTGCTGAACTGACTCTGGTTTCTGGGAGTGTGTGTCTAAAAACATTAATCTTTCAGCCAGACTGTAATCTCCTCAAAATGTTAGGCACATAACAGTTTAATAAAGTTTGACACCAAAGTTTGACTCATGGTAGGGTTGGACGCTTTTGATGTGTAGTTGAATCACAAACCAAGTTATGGATAGCTTGAAAAATAAGTGAATGTTCCCAGCTCACTGAGGCCAGAGTGCTGATAGTGGTTGATGTGTCATAAAAAATGTCATAAAAGCTCACAAAGTGTGTGAAGTACTTCTTGTTGAATTCATTAAACAGGAGATCGATATTAAATATGTTTTTTTCTCTGTTCTTACAGGAATGATTTACACCACTGGCAGCCTGGACTGTGAGACTCAGGATTCATACTGGCTAACGGTGTATGCAACGGACCGTGGCGTGGTGCCGCTCTCTGCCTCTATTGAGGTGTTTATCCAGGTGGAGGATGTGAATGATAATGCACCTTTGACCTCTGAACCCGTCTACCACCCGTACGTCATGGAGAACTCTCTCAAAGACATGTCTGTGGTCCGTATCCAAGCCCAGGACCCGGACGTTACCGCCTCAGATAGCCGTCTCATGTATCGTATCACGGCTGGAAATCCTCAGAACTTCTTTTCCATTGATTCCAACACAGGTAATAAAAAACGGAGTATTTTTATTTATTTTTTGCTCTATGAAGAAACAGAAGACCTCATAAAATCTTTTATTTTTCATTATATTACCTGCTGCAAATATATATATTTTTCAATTAATTACAGCTAAATTAGGTGAATCACATTTAGTTGCATATAACAATATTTGCTGGAAATTATAAGGATTTAAATTATGAAGGTAATTCAAAGATGAAAGACAAAACTTTTAATTATAGACTTTTGTTAATTAAGTGTCTGATTAATTTATTACATTTAGTTATTTGATGCACTTTCTAAATGAACACAATACATTTATTTAGGAATTTATAAGTGATCTGTATAAATGCATGTAAATGTATGCAGTTTACATTTTATGCAACTTACATTTTTTAATATACAAATAAAAAACGTAGTGCTGAAGTCTAACTAAAGATATGCTAAAATAAATTTGATTGTGTTAAAGTGGAACTATTGCAAGTAAAATATCTTGCATTTAAAGACTGATATTATTCAGATGTCATACAGTCCTCATCAATAGTGACATTAAAACACATTTTAGGCTTAATATTAAGAAATTTGCATTGTGCACAAGTAGTACTCCAAATAAAGTTTAATTATAATTTTTATATCAGTAAGTCTTGAGCAATAAGTCAGTAATAGATTTGAACTATACTTAGTATGAAATAAATGTATTAAATATATTACTTTTTTACTAGGGATATGATATTATACTGCACAAATTTGTAATTTACATTTTTTATATAAAAATAAGAATTTAGTATTATATGTGAGATTATATGGCACAAATTTGTCATTTACATTTTTAATATAAAAATAAAACATTTGTAATATATGAGATTATACTGCATACATTTATATCATTTACATTTTCAACCTACAGAAAATAAGCAGATCTACAGGAAATAAATAATAAATAATTTATTTCCCTCTGAATATGAGCAAATAATCTTTGATCATATTTTCGTTTGAAATTTCAGTGCACTGTCCCCCAGTCCAATCTCCCATCTATCGCGTTCGCGAACGCTTTCACAAGTACTACTAAACAAACTGAGCAGCACAGGCTGTAATCTGCTCAGTGTCAGGACATTCTAGTGTGAAGTGTTAACACACATGCAGAGCTCTGATCCCATGGCATGCTGGGTGCATGCTGCACTGCTGATTACACCGAGGTGCTGCTTTCCTTGCCATTTGAGAAGTGAGTCATGGGAGCTTATGTATGCAGCTGTAGTCAGTGAATTAATTAAACAAGGTTTGGTTGCCAGCAGGAAAGCTTTTCATTCTACTATTGGCAAATTCCTCCAAGGCAGCATGTGGCACCACATATTTACATTGGTTTAAGCTCAATAAATCTTACTCGATATATATAATGAGATGTGAGCGAGTGTGTGCATGCATTGATATGTAGTGAGCAGAGAGGTAACACTGTATTTCACTCTATATGAAAGCCTTTGTGTGTTCAAGGATGAAATATATGAAAAACAATATGTGGAAGGAAATGAAATTATGGCCGAATCAACCCAAAAGTATCAAACCTTGAACGTTTTATTGTTTGACCGTGGACTGCAGTCATAGATTCTACTTTAGCTTCAGCCACTGCTGGGAAAAAGCCGTTGTAATTGCTCCAAAAAAAAAAATCTCAAGCTCACTGAAAACAAGTAAACAATCAGCGATTAAATAAGAACAATAATCTAATTATAAGCAATAGGACAAAAAAACTAAAGAACAAATAAATAAGAAATGCTACATACGTTGTATAAAATAATCAAATGTTTAAAAACACTGCATATTCTTCACTGTGTAAATTGTAAAAAGTGATTTAGTCAAGAGCTTTTCTCTCTTTTGTTGTTTGATTAACATGACAGACAGCAGGAATATTAGACTGCTGTTACTTTAAGAGCTGCCTGGATCCAATATACTGTTACACATGTGTTTTCTTTCTCATGTTTGCTTTCACTTAAGACCTAAATTACTGTTTTATAAGGATACTTGCAAAGACGAAATTTTGACACATATAAGTGTGTGTATTTAACCGTTCAAGGCCTATAAAGAGGCAAAAATAACTCCGGTTCAATACTCCCATGCTCTATGTGCACCGTCTTCATGTGCGCGTGCTTCTCTGACAGTGCTCAGAAACAGTATCTCAGACAGCGCACACATATAGAGAAATAAGTTCTCTTTTGCTGCTAATTGTGTTTCAACGGCTCAGTTGTTTTTAAACCACAATGCTTAAAAATGACCACGTAATACAGCAACGTCACATGAGCGTGAAACTGAGATAAAGACCATAGTCTAAAATCGGTTGACAAATTTCTACCGGTATATCGCCCACCCCTGGTATACTGTATTTTATGGTGTATTTATGGTTTGTACTGTTTGGAGCTTGACAGCCATGAACTTTCATTGTATGGAAAAGAGGAGCATGTCCATTCTTTATAATTCCTCTTTTATATTAAATTGAAAAAAAAAAAAAGATAAAATAAGAATAAGAATAAAATAAGAACATACAGGTTTGTAATGACGTGAATGCAAGTAAATAGTAACAGTTTTTATTTTTGGGTGAACTATCCCTTTAAGAGCAAATGCATTGGTTCATCGATTCTCAAGGGCAGTCTTATTAGTTCATAAAATAAAGTCATGTAATAGTCATAAGTGACAAAACTATGATGTAACTCCTGTACAAAGCAGGCTAATATGATTACCCATCAACAGCCTCAAGAATTTTATTGATTATCATCATACAGGATACACACTGACTTATTTATTGATCTGTTTTAGGAACACATTTGTCTGTCCAACGAAATAGCGAGATGCTACCAGTAACCTATTGAATTCATTTGAATAAAAGGAGAATCAGTTGTAGTATCGGGTGAGGAATGGATTTGCACATGTAAAGGCAACAGTGTTTCCATGTGCTTTTTTATTTCTAATGTCTTATAATGAGGTGCAGTACAGCAAATTACTTGTCTACATTTGCATTATGAGTGACAGAGAGGACAAAGCCAGTGCTTACTGACCAAGGACTCTTATTTAACACCAAAACACGTGCAGATGTGCAAATTTTCATACAGTCTGGCGAGCAGCTCTTAAATTACTGATCAGTCAATGAGGGCAGTACAGTAGCACTGATCAATGGGATGGGTGTGGCTCCCTGTGATCCCTGCTCTACATGGACCGAGCGGAATGAGGGCCATTGATTTTTGTGTTCACTAAATGATGATTCACTCTGCAGCAGGCTTCAAGTTTCAAAGTTCATATCTTACATCTAGTGCCTCAAGGTGCCTGCTTTGACAGCCACCCAGGCATCAGCATCTCCAGCGTGTGGCGCTGACGGCGGATAGTGGCCATTAAAGATTTAGTTCGTAGAGGCTTTCATGAGCCGCTGCTTCTGACTTTTGCAGTGGTGTAATAAGCCCCAGGCCCCAATTTTGTGGCCACTGTCTGATCAAGTTCTGGGAATCTCCAGTAGAGCTCCATGAAGAAGAGTGAGATCAGTTGGCTCATTGTGTTGTTTTCAAAAGAGCACGTTGTATTGATGTATTTTTCTATTCATTTATTTTAAATAGAGGTTGAGTAGGGACAGTTTTGTTTATAGGCATTTTAGTCTTTTTATTTATCTGGAGAACAGAAAGAGATGTAGAGTTGCTGTGAAGTTGCTAAGGTGTGTGAATGGTTTTTGGCTCATTGCTGTGGGGTTTCTAGGGTAGTTGCTAAATGGTCACATACTGACCCAAGTCAAAAGAAGCCATCCTCAAGGAATCAAGGAGTCACTCCTCTAATGTAAATCTGAGAAATCTGCTTGCCAAAAATCTGGTTGATTGCTTAACTTGAGCTTTCATTTATGTCAGTACAAATGGCATGGGATGAGTTACAAGATTTAAAGAACAGAAGTAAAATATACTCTAAAATGTGCAATATGTTATGGCGAAGTATTTTGTTTTGATTGTATAAAAACAAAAAGGCACTTGTGCAAATTAATAGATGCAAATCAAATACTAGTTCATAAGTTTGGGGTCGGCAAGGTTTTTCAAATGTTTTTTGAAGTGTCTCATGCTTACCAAGGACTGCATTAATTTGATTAAAAAATATAGGAAAACAGTATTGCGAAATATTACTACAATTGAAAATAATGATTTCTATTTTAATATATTTTAAAATGTAATATTTTCCTCTGATGGCAAAGTTGAATTTTCACCATCCATTACTCCAGTCTTCAGTGTCACATGATCTTTCAGAAATCATTCTAATATGCAGACTAGCTACTCAAGGAACATTTATTATTATCAATATTGAAAACAACTGTGCTGTTTCATATTTTTGTAGGATCCATAATGTTTGAATAAAAATTTATAAAAAGAACAACATATATTTGAAATAGAAATATTTTGTAACATTATAAAGGTCTTTACAGTCTTATTAGATCAATTTAACTAATCTTTGCTGAAGAAAATATTCATTTATTTAAAATAAAAAATCTTACTAACCCTAAACTTTTGAAGGGTAGTATATATAATTTGGGTATATATATATATATATATATATATATAATAAGTATATATATTATACATATAAGTCATGAAGACATGAGTAAAAAGATATGTACATGATTGCATGAATGAAGGTATGAAGAGACAACAAGAAAACGTTAAAACTCCATTTGCAGCTTCCTTGACCTGTTAATATTGAATATTGGCACTGAATGCACTGCTTACTTTATCTTCAGAAGCTGTGGATTTTTCACCATAATTTTGTTTATGTGTTTATCTAGGTTACAGTTATGGATGGAGGAGGGATCTTCAGGCAGTCCACTGTCTGGGTGATAGTGCATGTTCAAGATGAGAATGACAATACGCCTGAATTCAAAGAGTCTGTGTACCGCATCAGCCTTCCGGAGCGGGACCGTAACAAACGCGGTGATCCTGTCTACAGAGTCTTCGCTTACGATCGAGATGAAGGGTCCAATGCAGATCTCACATACAGCATCGTGGATGGAAATGACGACGGCAAATTCGTAATTGATGCCAAGACAGCCATGGTGTCTTCCAGGAAGATGGTCACAGCTGGTGGCTATGATATACTCACGGTAAAGTACCATACAGATGGGCAATTCAGTGGATATTAAAGAAAGTTTTTCTTTAAAGCAGCATAAAGTTTTCAACCTTCATATTTACTTCATATTTTCTCAGATAAAAGCCACTGACACTGGAGCCCTTCAGAAGTGGTCGACCGCCCGTTTGCATGTTGAATGGATTCGGAAGCCCGTGCCTTCGCCACTAGCCTTGCGATTTACCGCAGCCATTTACAACTTCACAGTGGCGGAAAACGCCAAAGTGTATGAGTCAGTTGGAGTGGTCTCTGTTTGGCAGACAGAAACTCCTTTATGGTTCGACATCATTGGTGAGCATCAATAATGCAGCAGTCCCAGTCATAAATTAAGTCGGGATGCAATCTTTAATGTCCCTGATATTACTGATGTTACTGTCTGCTTTGGATGAATTGCTTGTGTTGTAGCATTCCTCAGTTACTTCGGATAAAACCGTGCGGATAAATGAGTAAATGTAAATGTAATTTAAAGGAGTGGATATCTGTGGTAAACTATTCTGACAATGATTTACTCCATTTGCTTGTTGCTTACAGCTCTTTTACATATTTATCATTTGCACCTATACTTTCTACTCAACAGAAGATGTATGGATGATTGAGTTAGTCAACTAAAATATGCAAAGAGGGCCATTTTGATTAAACCCTCTCAGTATTTGGGATTTCGCTGAGCTTTGCAGATGTTGTCCCACATGTTGGAATTGCTTGTGTAAATTTTAGTTGGAAAACTCCTGAATGAATTAGCATTTTAAAACTAGTTGTTTTTGAATTTGTTTAGTTTAATATGAGCTTTTGACTTCAATGTCAGCTTTCTGTTTTCTTTTTCTCTCTGTTAATCTGTATCTGTTTCTGAGAAGGTGGAAGAACGTCCCGGGAGATGTTTTATATCCCACAGAGCTCCTGTGGTGGAAACTGTTCATCTGACAGTGGTAGGCTAACTGTCAGTATTTTGTAGTTATTTTCCTAAGCGTGAAGGGTTGGTTGGTTTATCTGATACTTTTAGATACTCGCTTTAAAAACTCCATTTGCTGCAGGGCAAACGTGAAGCGCTCAATCCTGTAAACACTTTAAGTGCTGAGATACCTTCCAGACTTTGGGTCTTCTGATCTCATTTAAGTGCAGTGGAAATTGAGTGGAATTGGAACAGATGCATGCAATGCATACTAAAGATGCTCAGAAAGTTTGCCCTTATCCGCCAGAATGGACCTGAATTAATGATTTGAGAATCTGCCGTGAAGAGGCCTGAACTTGACACAGATGTTTGTGGGAGTCGAAGATAAGAGACCTGAGGCTGATGGGAAAGATCCCAACATAAAGCGGTTGATCTTTCGAAAGCCGTGAAACTTTGATGAATCACTGTGAAACATAAAAAATGTATTACTCACAGATGTGCCAAACTGCATGACAGTTCGACTGGTAGAGTGTTTACCTTGATCTTTTTCTGCTAAACCTTTACCTCTTCGTTGGATTTATAAATGCATGCAAAGCATTTTCTATCACTTTTCATTTTTCAGTTCATGCTAACTGTGATTTCTTGGTGTAATAGGTAACTATGATGGTCCATTTGATATTCAGAGAGGGATGAGGACCATAATAATAGCCAGACCTCTCGATGCAGAGACACAGTCGCTATATAACATGACGGTACAGGTAACAGATGGGACAAACACTGCTACTACACAGGTAGGTGTATTTTTAGTTATGCAAACCTCTTGGAAACTTTTCCTAACAGATGTTACAAGTCTGCTAACTTTGCCAGAAACTTTGCAAAACGAATATTCCTGGCAGCTGTGGTTGAAATATCCAAGAGAGAAACGTCTGTAGGATTTTAAGCAGCGTGCCAGCTTTTATCTAATTTTATCAATACAAGTTTGCTGTGTGAAAGAGATATCTATATAATCTTCACTGAAAATGTCTTCAGATATGCCAGGGGCTGCTGAGTATTCCAGTGTCCCAGAAACCTACATTGTATTGTCACTCTAGCATGTGCGTTTTCTGTTTCTTATTTAAGCTGTTTTGACATAAGTGCCTATTGCAACAGTGTAGATTACTCGTGCATCTGTTTAACTGAGATTGAATGTCTCTGTGAAAAGCTAAAAATGACTCCGTCTGCTGTATCTACAGATTTACATAAAGGTTTTGGACAGCAATGACAACAGTCCTATTTTCTCTGAGCGTACATATGAAGTCTCGGTGTCTGAGGATACGCCAGCCGACACTGAGGTCTTGCGTGTCCGGGCCAGGGACAAGGATGAACGGTCAAAGTTGAGCTATTCTATCCATGGCAGCGTTGATCCGGCGAGCATGCGGATGTTTAGGATCAATCCTGGTACTGGTGTCATGTACACAGCAGATCGACTGGACTATGAGATCCGCACTCAGCACATCCTTACTATTATGGTGAGAAAGAACATTTGTATTATTAAATGTGTATTATGATTAGTGATTTCAAAGCTGAAACAGACCATTTCACATGTCATACAGTGGGGTTCAAAGGTCTGAGATCACTAATGAAAATTATTCACTATTTGCATTTTTCTAATTTAATAAGATAATAAAGATGTCTAAGAATAATTTTAAATATTTTTAAATAATACTTAAATTAAATTGATTTGATTAAAATGTATAAATAAAATATATTAATTAAAATATATACATTTTATTTTCAACACCATAATTTTATAAATAGCTAAAAATATATTAAACTGTTCACAAATTATTTTTAAATGGTTCAAAATTATAAGCTTTATATTTGTTTCCAGATTTTTTTAGATCAATGTGGACTCTTGAACCCCACTGTACTTTTACTGTATATAGTATTTTAGATAATCATACATATAGCCCAGCATACCAGATTTTATATTGTGACAATTTACATTTTTAACTGTTCCTTTCTGTCTGCTGTCTTTTTTTTTTTTTTTTTTTTTTTTTTTTTTTTTTTTTTTTTTACCTTTTTCTCTTTTTACTTGTTTCTTCACAAATCTTTTCCATGCAAAATCTTAGGTTTTCTCCTCAGGTCTGTTGCCCTATCTCTCCTCCTCTTTTTTAGGTGAAAGATCAAGAATTTCCCTATTATAGAGACCTGGCACGGATTATTGTGACCTTGGAGGATGCCAATGACCAGCCTCCTTTTTTTACTCGTACTATTTATGACAGTACAGTGTTTGAGTCTTCCCCTCCAGGAACGTCATCTTTGCAAGTGATCACACTAGACAGAGACTCAGGGAGAAACGGGGAGATAGTTTACTCAATTGTTGCAGGTAAACACCGTGTTCTCACCTCTTGAATTTATTACGCTCCCTGATAACATTTCCATTGTTCAGCTGTTTTGAGTAAAACTGATTGTCTGTTCCACAGAGTGTGATGCATTAGCTCATTCTTTTAACCTGTCATGAATCTTAAGATTTATCTTTGATATATCCTTTACCCGACATGCCCCTTTTCATCATGAACTGACAGGTACGTGTCATTTTTTTCACAGGAAACACTGGTGGCATATTTGGAGTAGATCCATTATCTGGCATAATTTCAGTAGCCAGAGAGCTGGACCTTACAACTGTGGGTTTTTATACCCTTACTGTGAGAGCCACAGATGGAGGTACTCCAGCATTAAGTAGCACAACTACTGCTAGGATCGCCATCTCTCTGTCTGATTTCTCCAGTCCAAAGTTTGCCCAGCAAGAATACCAGGCTGAGATCACTGAGAATGTGGCTATCGGGACTTTTGTCATATTGGTCTGTGCAATTAGCCGAACCACACTGATTTATGACATTATACAAGGAAATGATGAAAAGAGGTTTAAAATAAACTGTTACACAGGTGTCATCACAACACAAAGGAATTTTGACTTTGAGATGACCTCCTCATATATGCTGGTGATCCAGGCTGTAAACATGGCTGGGATTGCCTCCAGTGTCACTGTCTGCATCCAAGTGGTTGATGAAAATGATAATCCTCCAGCTTTTCAGGAGCTCACATATACAGGGACCATCAGTGAGGCGGCCCCCATCAATAGTGTGGTGATAAGTGAGGATGGAAAGCCCCTGGTAATTGAAGCCACAGATGCTGACAAGAATCACAATGCCCTCCTGGTCTTCCAGATTGTGGAGGACACAGCAAAATTGTTCTTTACTGTAGACTCAGGAACAGGCTCCGTCAGAACTATAGCTAAACTGGACTATGAAACATTCAGTGCTTTTTATTTTTCTGTTAATGTGAGGGACAGTGGCAGGCCTCAGCTAACAGCAGAGAAGCCAGCCAAGGTCCTAATCAGGGTTGTGAACATCAATGACTCTCCCCCTCAGTTCTCACAAGAAGCTTATGATACGGTTTTGCTTCTTCCAACATATGTTGGGGTTGAGGTTCTGAGAGTAGAAGCCACTGATCCTGACATGACCACTGATCTGATGTATTCCTTGGCTGATAGCAACTTGGAGCACTATGAAATGGATTCATCATCAGGCATACTCACGGTCAAAAACAATAAACTCTCCAAAGACCGTTATCGTTTCAATGTCAAAGTGTCAGACGGGCGGTACTTTTGCACAGCACTCGTGACTGTGTTAGTTAGGGAGGCTATGGACAGTGGCCTCCTCTTCAGTCAAACCACATACTCCTCCTCTGTACTGGAGAACAGTGTGAACATTACCACTGTGAGCATTGTAAATGCTGTAGGAAACCGCTTAAATGAACCACTAAAGTACACGCTTTTGAATGCAGGGACACGCTTTACAATTCATCCCACATCAGGAGTCATTCAAACCACAGAAGCCCCTTTCGATCGAGAACAACAGGAACTGTATGAGCTGGTGGTTGAGGCGAGTAGAGAATACGACCAGCTGCGAGTTGCTAGAGTAACCGTCAAAGTAGAAGTTGAGGATGTTAACGACAATGCCCCTGAGTTTCTAGGCCTTCCATATTATGCGACTGTGCAGGTTGATGCAGAACCTGGCTCATCCATCTTCCAGGTGTCTGCGACAGATTTGGACAAAGGGATAAATGGAGCTGTATATTACGAGCTTAAGGAGGACCATCCACATTTTGAGGTGAATAAGCTCACTGGGGAGCTTACTCTTAAAAGGGCCTTTGACGCAGACTTGTCCAATGTTGAATATCCGCTGGTCGTCCTTGCACGTGATGCAGGCTACCCCTCTCTCTTCACTGTTGTCGAGCTTCCAGTTACAGTTGTGAACAAGGCCATGCCTGTTTTTGACAAGTCATTTTATGGCATATCAGTTAGAGAGGATATTGCAGTGTCAACTCCCATATTATGCATAAATGCCAGCAGCCCAGAGGGCCAAAACATTATATATACTATCGTGGAAGGGGATCCTTCCTTCCAATTTGACATTGGCTTTGACAGTGGTGTGATTAGTGTCATATATCCTTTAGACTATGAAACCACACCCTACTACAGGCTAACCATCAGGTCTACAGACACTCTCACTGGAGCCAGATCCGAAGTAGATGTGGACATAGTTGTGGTGGATGTAAATGACAATGCCCCTGCATTTCGTAATGCATCATACACCACCACTTTGCCAGAAAACTCAATGATCGGGTCTAGCGTGATACAGCTTTGGGCGACCGACAAGGATTCTGAAAAAAACAGTGTAATTAGCTATCAAATCCTCTCTGATGGATTTAACAGCACAGACTACTTCCACATTGACAGCACTAGTGGACTTGTGTTAACAGCCTGTTTTCTGGACTACGAACTTACACCGAGCTTTAGCTTTATCGTTAGGGCAACAGACAACGGTTCCCCATCCCAGAGCAGTGAGGTCACGGTCACCGTCTTAGTGAGTGACGTGAATGACAACCCACCATCCTTCAGCCAGCCACTTTACGAAGCTTTTGTGAGTGAACTGGCTCCCAGAGGGCACATTGTGACATGTGTCCAAGCTTCTGATTCAGACAGCTCAGATGCCAAGAGTTTGAGGTACAGCATACTCTCTGGAGATGAGAAAATGAACTTCATAATAGACTCTCAGACAGGTGTTATTTACTTGTCCAGTCAGCGCAGACAGGGGATAAGACCAGCATACAACCTCAATGTGTCTGTATCAGATGGGGTCTTCACCAACACTGCACAGGTGAACATTCGAGTCATGGGGGCCAACCTTTACAGCCCTGTCTTTAGTCAAAGGTTCTACTTGGCGGAGGTCCGTGAGAATGCCCCAGCAGGTACCAAAGTCATTCAGGTGCGTGCCACAGATGATGACTCAGGGATTTTTGGTCAGATCATGTATTCCTTTATCAATGACCTTGGAAAGACTCAGTTTTACATTGGAGCCGATGGCCTGATAACTACAGCTCAGAAACTCGACAGAGAGAACCCAATAAACAGAGACATTGTGCTAACTGTTATGGCGCTCGATGGTGGGGGAAGAGCATCCTTCTGCACCGTTAGGGTAATTCTTGCTGACGAAAATGATAATGCGCCACGTTTCAGGGCTATGGAGTATAGAGTTAGCATAAAGGCTAATGTGCCAATGGGATCGCTGGTGACTCAAATCCAGGCTCAGGACCCAGATTCCGGCGATAATGGCAGAGTTAGCTACTCGCTGTACAGTGAGGCAAGGCTTCCTCTTGTGGATGTGTTGGAGATTGAGCCTGACAGTGGCTGGATGGTCACAAAGGGAAGCATGGCGCATTTAAGAGGAACGGTTCTCTCCTTTTTTGTCAAAGCTACTGATGGAGGTGTTCCAGCCAAGCATTCCCTCGTGTCTGCATTTATTCATGTCTTACCACCTGATGCAAATGTGCCCTCCTTCACCCAACCCCAGTACTCCTACACGGTCCCAGAGGACACACCTGTTGGGACAGTCTTGGGATCAGTGTACTTAAGTCCTGGCCAGACAGCTTTCTTTTCTGTGGTGAATGGAGAGACTGGGGAGAGTAACCAGGGTGGGACATTTTTAGTTGAGAGAGAAACTGGACTTCTAAGGCTTGTTAACCCCCTTGATTATGAACTCATCAACATTTACCGTTTCAAAGTTGCAGCCACCATGAGACAGGCACTGGTTGAGTCCATGTCTGTAGTGGATGTAGAAGTCAAGGTGCTGGATGTGAATGACAACAAACCATTATTCGAAACCAGCTCTTATGTGGCCATGGTTATGGAAGGTATGCCTAGGGGTACACGGGTTATCCAGGTACGAGCGCTTGACCCTGATTGGGGATCTAACGGACAGGTTAATTACAGCCTGGGACCAACCCTAAACCAAGAGCAGGACAAAGCTAGTGGATCTAAATCTGCCGCTGGTGCCATGTTTGTTATTGACAGCAAGACTGGTTGGATCACCACTCTCGGTGACTTGGATCATGAGATGTGCCCATCTTACACCTTCAACGTGGTGGCATCTGATCTAGGAGAGGGTGTTTCACTTTCCTCTACAGCTGTAGTGACCGTTGCAATCGCAGACGTTAATGACAACCCCCCTACCTTCGAGAGAGAGTACTACAGAGGTGCTGTGCGAGAGAGCGACCTTCTGGGAGAAGTGGTTTCGGTGCTGAGCACTCGTGATGGGGACAGCTCTGATCAGAATCGGCTTGTCAGCTTCCATATCACAGGTGCGTATTAAAGTAGGCCACTGGAGGATGATTTATGGCTCACGGAGGCTCTCCGGGAAAGATAATCACATTGAAAGGGTTTAATTTAATGAACTAAGTGTTCAAAAGCTATATGAGTAAAGAGCCATTTGCTTTATGTGTCACATTACTTTGTTTAAAGCCCATCTGGGGATGTGAACAGATTGTTAGAATTAAGCTCAGTTTATTGTTTCCAATAACTTGGGATAAAATATATACCCTCTCCAAAAGTGTCCCTAAGTGTTCTGGTTCACTTAACATGCTCTTAGAGTTATTTTGATGTAAGCACATTTGAATTTGATGTGTTCAAAACAGTTTATGAAATATATGCAGTTTGTTTTATTCTACTTAAAGAACAATAGCACCTTACAGCATATAAACACTGTAATGTGTTTATGGAAATGATGGTTTGGTCTCTGTGCAGGCCATCACAGAGATTCACAAATCTACCTTGCTCTTTTATCTCAATTCTGTTGCCATCTTTTTGACTCAGGAGGAAACCCCAAGGGGGTATTTGCGCTGGCTCCCGTTCAGGGGGAGTGGAAGGTCTTCGTGAAGCGTCCTTTGGACAGAGAGGAGCAGGATCGATACCTGCTCAATATCACAGCCAGCGACGGCCTGTTTGTAACCCGCATAGGCGTGGAGGTCACTGTCATGGATTCCAATGACAACAGCCCCATCTGCAATCAGGTCTGAGCAATTGATTTAGGCTGGCATTTGTCATCTCATACAGCCCAAGTTAACAACTACCATGTTTAATGCTTGCATACTGATGTACGTAAAGGAAGTTTTGGTATGCAAATGTATTAAGAATTCAATACACTATTTGAATACATTTTCATCATTATTTTTTAGGCGCAATATGAGGCCTCATTTCCAGAAGATGTGTCTGTTAATACTGCCATTCTGACAGTTGGAGCAACAGACTTGGACAGTGGTGTCAATGCAGAAATTCAGTATTCTCTGTTTGGCATTGGAGTTGAAGATTTTTACATGGATGCAAATACTGGTATTTCTGTACAAACTGCTTTTGACATGCGTTTATACTTTTGACACTTTTAATTTTTCAGTTTCTTAAGGCTTGAATGAATACACTACATGATTTTGTACAGACGTTTTCTCTGAAAAAAAACATTAATACATACACTTCCACATAATTACAAATTGCAACAATACAACATGCTTCATATTCAATCCAGCCGCTTAAAAAAACTGTAAGTAATACAAACACTTTAAGAGTCCTTAATAAAATTCAAACTGCAAATATGAATGGCTTCTAGTACAAAGGTAACCTTATATCGTTTGGTCAAACACTTAATACTTCTAAGCCGTCTACCAGAAGGCATTGTCTCAAAGTGCAAGGGGCGCGTGTCATTATTCATCATGATACACCTAGCTTTCCTTATTACTTGCTGCCCATAAAATTCAGTTAGGCTCCGCAGTGGCACACCAGTAATTTCTGAGCAAGTTCTAGCTATATTTTGGAGACGATTCTTATTCTTAATAGAAATAGATGCAAACCACCATAAGAATGAAAAACTTAAGACACTCTCAATAAACGTATTATAAAATACACTCAAAATAGATTTTTGTATACAAAAAGAATTCAGTTTCCTCAGGGCAAACATTCTTTGGTGAACCCTCTTGATAATAGCCTCCATATTCTGCTGAAATTTTAAAGTTGTGTCAAAATTTGTACCAAGGTATTTGTACTACTCTACTTTATCGACCTCTCTGTCCTGAATAAGCAGTGGTTGCACTATTGGAGCATTTTTTTTTTCTGAAATCAATCACCATCTCTTTTGTTTTTGTAATATTTAGTCTTAGCTATGCTTTGTTGCACCATGTAATAAACTTAAAGGGATACTCCACCCCAAAATGAAAATTTTGTCATTAATCACTTACCCCCGTGTCGTTCCAAACCCCTAAAAGCTTCGTTCGTCTTCGGAACACAATTTAAGATATTTTGGATGAAAACCGGGAGGCTTGTGACTGTCCGATTGACTGCCAAGTAAATTACACTGTCAAGGTCCAGAAAAGTATGAAAGACATCGTCAGAATAGTCCATCTGCCATCAGTCTTTATTCAACAATTAGTCTCCTCTGTGTCCCTCCGCATCACAGTAGCGCCATTTTGGAGAATATGCGCTGAACGCAAGCAGCGTACGCTCTTCTGTCCGCGACGCAAGGATATGTTTTTTACGTGTATTTATT